AAAATTTTTTTTCTGTTCTTTTTCATCCTCTGTTATCAAGAATCAAGAAAACACAGAGGCCCCCAACAATGGCGTCTCTGGTTTCACCCACATTCACACCGCCCAACTCCTCCAAACTCTCATCAATTTCACAAAAAAACAACCTTTTACACTCGTTCCTCCCCAAAAAGCCCACCACCCCAAACCACCCACCACCACCGTCCACCCACAAATTCAAATGCGCAGCAATCGGCAACGGCCTCTTCACCCAGACAACCCCCGAGGTCCGCCGTGTCGTGCCGGACAAACTCCGAGGCCTCCCCACCGTGAAAATCGTCTACGTCGTATTGGAAGCCCAGTACCAGTCGTCCCTGACCGCCGCCGTTCAAACCCTCAACCAAGACTCCGACTTTGCCTCGTTCGAGGTCGTGGGCTACTTGGTAGAAGAGCTTAGAGATGAAAACACATACAAAACCTTCTGCAAAGACATCGAAAACGCGAATATTTTTATTGGGTCGTTGATTTTTGTCGAGGAGTTGGCTCTGAAGGTTAAGTCCGCCGTCGAAAAAGAAAGGGACAGGCTTGATGCGGTCTTGGTGTTCCCCTCAATGCCTGAGGTCATGAGACTCAACAAGCTGGGCTCGTTCAGCATGTCTCAGCTGGGCCAGTCGAAAAGCCCATTTTTCCAGCTGTTCAAGAAGAAGAACAAATCCTCCGCGGGCTTTGCCGATAGCATGCTGAAGCTCGTTAGAACATTACCGAAGGTTCTCAAGTACTTGCCGAGCGACAAGGCTCAGGACGCGAGAATGTATATCCTCAGCCTCCAGTTTTGGCTCGGGGGCTCGCCTGATAACCTCTCGAATTTCGTTAAAATGATTTCGGGCTCGTACGTGCCTGCTCTGAAGTGGACTAAAGTCGAGTACTCAGACCCGGTTCTGTACTTGGATAGTGGGATATGGCACCCGCTTGCTCCTTGCATGTACGATGATGTGAAGGAGTATTTAAATTGGTACTCGTCACGTAGGGATACGAATGCGCAGCTCAAGAGCCCGAATGCACCGATTATCGGGCTTGTTCTGCAGAGGAGTCATATAGTTACAGGGGATGAGAGCCACTACGTGGCCGTGATAATGGAGCTCGAGGCAAAAGGTGCGAAGGTGATACCGATCTTCGCAGGCGGGCTGGACTTCTCGGGCCCAGTCGAGAGGTACTTCGTGGACCCGATCACTAAGAAGCCCATGGTGAATTCTGTGGTGTCATTGACGGGCTTTGCTCTTGTTGGGGGCCCGGCCAGGCAGGACCATCCGAGGGCGGTTGAGGCCTTGATGAAGCTGGACGTGCCATATATTGTGGCCTTGCCGTTGGTTTTCCAGACGACTGAGGAGTGGCTTAACAGCACTTTGGGGCTTCATCCGATTCAGGTGGCTTTGCAAGTTGCTTTGCCCGAGCTGGATGGTGGTATGGAGCCCATTGTTTTCGCGGGCCGAGATCCAAGAACTGGTGAGTTAACTCTTGTTGCAGTCAAGTTTCTGATTAATATATTTTTTTTTCCCTGTAGAATAACTATGGGCTACTTGGGTAATGTTCACTATACTCCTCATCATGCATAATTTGATTAGAATCCAAAAGCTAGTGGAACTTTATCTTACCCTTACATTTCAGTGCATTTGTGAACTCTTTTATAATGACAGGAAAATCTCATGCTCTTCACAAAAGGGTGGAGCAGCTTTGCACCAGAGCTATCAAATGGGCTGAGCTGAGGAGGAAGTCGAAGGTACCTACTGAACTATGTAGTTTGTAATTCAAATCATACGAAATTCTAGCCGAAATATATTTGTTTTTTCTAAAGAATCTAGACCTTAATGATATCAACAATTAGAATGAAACCGAATTTGATGTTATTCAGACTGAATGGTTTCCATGGGTTCTTGTACACTCAGCACATACTTTAAACATGTATGCTACTATCTTAAAAACTCCACAAGTCCAAGTACAAGTTAAAGGCTCATACGAGAATGTGAAACTTTGTTCTTGTTCTTTATACACAGTTTTGCACTCATAGCGAATATAGAATTTGCACAACAATTTGTCCTCTGTTGCAGCATTCTTTGTATTTATAGTTACTTCTCAGCATTACCTGCCTTAACTTATGCCTTATATTACTTTCTAGTTTCTACAATTACCAGTTGAAGTAGATCAAGAAAACTCATTTACAAATACAAAAGAGGAAAAACGAAAAGAAGAACAAATACCTAGAATCCACATTCCATAACTGCAATTCTTTATATCTTTTACCCACGCGCAGACCGAAAAGAAGCTAGCAATCACTGTATTCAGCTTCCCTCCTGACAAGGGCAATGTGGGAACCGCTGCGTATCTCAACGTCTTTGCCTCCATCTTTTCCGTCCTCTCTGACCTCAAATCCGACGGCTACAATGTCGAAGGCCTTCCCGACACTGCCGAGGCCCTGATCGAGGATGTCATCCACGACAAGGAGGCCCAATTCAACAGCCCAAATCTCAACATTGCCTACAAAATGCCCGTTCGTGAGTACCAGAACCTGACCTCATATGCCCCTGCCCTCGAGGAAAACTGGGGCAAACCCCCGGGCAACCTTAATTCAGACGGCGAAAACCTTTTGGTCTACGGAAAACAATACGGTAACGTCTTCATAGGCGTCCAGCCGACTTTCGGTTACGAAGGCGATCCCATGCGTCTCCTTTTCTCCAAATCAGCCAGTCCTCACCATGGCTTCGCGGCTTACTACTCGTTCGTCGAGAAAATCTTCCGGGCCGATGCTGTTCTTCATTTTGGGACTCACGGCTCGCTCGAGTTCATGCCGGGAAAGCAGGTTGGTATGAGCGATGCGTGTTTTCCCGATAGCCTCATTGGGAACATACCGAACGTGTACTATTACGCCGCAAACAACCCGTCCGAGGCCACAGTCGCCAAGCGGCGAAGCTACGCGAACACGATCAGCTATTTAACTCCTCCAGCAGAGAACGCTGGACTGTACAAGGGGCTCAAGCAGCTGAGTGAGCTCATCTCGTCTTACCAGTCGCTCAAGGATACGGGCCGGGCCCCGCAGATTGTGAGCTCGATCGTCGGCACGGCCCGCCAGTGCAACCTCGACAAGGATGTCGATCTGCCGGAAGAGGGCACGGAGATCCCGGCCAAGGAGCGGGACAATGTGGTCGGTAAGGTTTACGCGAAAATCATGGAGATTGAATCGAGACTGCTCCCGTGCGGGCTCCATGTGATTGGCGAGCCACCAACTGCACTCGAGGCGGTTGCGACTCTGGTCAACATCGCTGCCCTTGACCGCCCGGAGGACGGTATCTCATCCCTGCCGTCGATTTTGGCCCAGACGGTCGGTCGGGAAATCGAGGATGTCTACAGGGGTAATGATAAAGGGTTCTTGCGGGATGTCGAGCTTCTCCGCCAGATAACCGAGGCCTCGCGCGGAGCAATCATGGCCTTTGTCGAGCAAAGTACAAATAGCAAAGGCCAGGTCGTGGATGTTAAGGATAAGTTGACTTCGATCCTCGGTTTCGGAATAAACGAGCCGTGGATCAAGTATCTATCGGACACGAAGTTTTACCGGGCGGATAGAGAGAAATTACGTGTCTTGTTTCAGTTCTTGGGCGAGTGCTTGAAGCTGGTCGTGGCTGATAACGAGCTGGGGAGCTTGAAGCAGGCGTTGGAAGGGAAATACGTGGAGCCGGGGCCCGGCGGGGACCCTATCAGGAACCCGAAGGTATTGCCGACCGGGAAAAACATTCACGCGCTGGACCCTCAGGCTATTCCGACCACAGCAGCTATGCAGAGCGCGAAGGTGGTGGTAGACAGGTTGATCGAGCGGCAGAAGGTTGATAATGGCGGGAAATATCCGGAGACTGTGGCCCTCGTGCTGTGGGGGACGGATAATATCAAGACGTATGGGGAGTCGTTAGCTCAGGTGCTGTGGATGATTGGAGTGAGGCCTGTTGCAGACACGTTCGGGAGGGTGAACAAGGTGGAGCCCGTGAGTCTTGAAGAGCTCGGGAGGCCGAGGATTGATGTGGTTGTTAATTGTTCTGGTGTGTTCAGGGACTTGTTCATTAATCAGGTAAATCTATTATTCCCTTTGCTCTAATGTTAAACTGCTGTCAAAATATATTACAAAACCATAAAAAGATTAAAATGGAAATTCACTCTCCCTCACAGATGAACCTTCTTGATCGGGCGGTGAAGATGGTGGCCGAGCTGGACGAACCGGAAGACCAGAATTACGTGCGTAAGCATGCCATGGAGCAGGCGAAGGCCCTAGGAGTCGAGGTCCGAGAGGCCGCCTCACGCATCTTCTCGAACGCATCAGGCTCTTACTCGTCTAACATCAATCTCGCAGTTGAGAACTCGTCGTGGAACGACGAGAAGCAGCTTCAGGACATGTACCTTAGCCGAAAGTCATTCGCGTTTGACTGTGATGCTCCCGGGGCCGGAATGGCCGAGAAGAGAAAGATTTTCGAGATGGCCCTCAGCACTGCCGATGCCACTTTCCAGAATCTCGACTCGTCTGAGATTTCACTCACTGACGTTAGCCACTACTTTGATTCTGACCCCACGAACCTCGTCCAGAATCTGAGGAAAGACGGGAAAAAGCCTAGCGCATACATTGCTGACACCACCACTGCTAATGCACAGGTTAGTACTTCCACGTTACACGACTTCAGTTTTTTTGTGCAAAATGATGAATTTTGGTTGATTTTGACGGTTTTGCCCTTTATAGGTCCGCACGCTGTCCGAGACAGTACGTTTAGATGCACGAACCAAGTTGCTGAACCCGAAGTGGTACGAAGGCATGCTGTCGAGCGGGTATGAAGGCGTGCGGGAGATCGAGAAGCGGCTCACGAATACGGTTGGGTGGAGTGCGACCTCAGGACAGGTGGACAACTGGGTTTACGAAGAGGCCAACACGACTTTTATCGAGGATGAGCAAATGCTAAAACGGCTCATGAGCACTAATCCGAATTCCTTCCGGAAGCTGGTCCAGACGTTCTTGGAGGCCAACGGGCGAGGGTACTGGGAGACCTCGGCTGAGAATATCGAGAGGTTGAGGCAGCTGTACTCAGAGGTCGAGGACAAGATTGAAGGGATCGACCGTTAGGTTTTCTTCAAAATGGTGGCCGAATAAAACCGTAGGTCGATTTGTGTCTGTTGTAATTTGTAAATGAAAGGGCCTGAATTTTTTTTTTTTTTTTTTTTTTTATCTCTCTTTTTTTGGCAAGAATTGTTCACTGATTTTTTCCATGCTGTGGGGCTGGTTGGCTCTGAGTTTGTTGTAACTATTGCGAGATACTGCTGATTCAGAAGAAATGGCAATTTGCAGCTCATTTGCAATCATATGACAGCATTTGATACCTAAATCCAATACTTAATGTTCAATGAGCTTGAACACCAAGTATTATCTCATGCACTACAATAGTACCCAGATCAATTAGGTTCAATGCACAGAAGAGGATTAACATGGCTACGGGCCCACCCGGCCCGTCAGACTGGCCCGGAACCGGGTCGGCCCGGAACCGGCCCATATTTTGCCAGTTCATTCTGCTGGTTCCGGTTCTTAATTTTTCTTTTTCTTTTTCGGTCCCGGTGGTCCGGGCCGGGCCACGGGTTGAAAGACGGGCCACGATTGTATTCTTTTACGGGCCGAACCGGCCGGAAACCGGCGGGTCATGTCCAATGATAGATAAATAGCGCCCATTGATGATAAAAACATAAGAAAAGATGAATCCTTTACAAAAGAACATAATAGGAGATAATGTAAACAAAACTGAACCTAAAATCTAAAACTTAACCAAAGCAGCTAATTTCAAACCCACACAAAGAAAATGGCGCTTGAGCATTTACTGCAGAGATCAATACCTTTCAAATTCAGTCTTTTGGTGTCTTGGAATTCCCAATCGCGAGCACTTGCCACCCATTTAATTTAGTCTTTTTTTTTTTCAAAGAAAGAAAGAAAAAGAAAAACACGCAGACACACACTGAGTTGGATTGTTGAGGTGCTGTGATTTTGAGTGTGTGATTGATAGGTGGGAAAAGTGGAGCTATTTTTTGCTTTGGATTCTGTATTATGTGTCCGCCCGGCCTGCGGACCGGCCCGGACATGACCCAGTCAGACCCGTGGTCAACTGGTGTATATCTTGCCCAGATTTTAACCAACTCTATTCAGGGTCTTGCATTGTAAGGCCCTGGCAGGCCGAGCCGAGTTTGGGTCAGCTCGGGAAATCAATCGTTTTTTTTTTAGGGTTCCGGATCCGGGTTAAGCACACCATGGTCTAAAGATGGCAAGGGTCGGGTCGGGCCGACACTGGCTCAGAACCGACCAGGATCTACAGGTCTTGGAAGTTGGAACTAGACCCGTGGTGGGCGATTCCAGTCCTTAGATGTAGCTGGGCCGGTTTCGGGTCGTGAACCGACCCGGCTGATGGCCATGTCTCCTCGACCTATGGTTGCTTTCAGGGTCGTTTTCGAGCTCAGAGACCCATGGGGCCCAAGCCTGGGATTGGGCCACCTCTAATTATGCAACTTCTACTTCTTTATGTGTTATTTGTTTGGCGGAGTGATGTGGAACATGTTGGACTGTTAAGAATTGTTCAAATGTTGATAGTTGGAAGTACTTATGCATATAATTTTTTGTTGAAAAATATTGTTCAAAAGATGATAGCTGGAAGTATTCTTTTTTTTTTTTTTCTCAAACGATAATTATATTAAAACTCGCAAACCAAAACTTCAAGCCCGAAAACAACACAATTCGTGCCGCGTAGTCGGATTGATGAAGAGTCTGCTCTCGATTTAGATTTGGACTCTGAAAAACCATCCATGCTAGGGGAGAAGGTGAGTCGCCCCTAAGCCGTCGAAAATCACGTCGGAGAGCTCGAAAATGGTTCAATCGCACAACCAAGCCGCACCGTTGAACACCATACAAAGAGAACCCGAACCCCGACGCACCAACAACCAGATGGACTCCAACGGCTGGGACTGACGCGGACGACCGACGACCTTTCTGTGGTCACGGAGATGGCGGATATGCAGGCCCCAATCTGAGCCATACATCCATGAGGCCATGGAAACAGCAGGAGAAAGATCCACCAGCCTCGACTCGGTGGAAGCCGGCCCCGACGACACGGTTGTAGGTTGCCGATGAAGGAGGGGCAGCAAAACTTACGGATCTGAACTTTGGTTGCAAAGGCCAGAGAGGTTTTTTGGGTCTGGGGGAGAGGTTTTTTCCTTGTCTCCAAATGTAGTGTTCAATGATAGTTGGAAGTATTTTTTTTTTGGTACAGGGACCTTCCGGTTTTCGGATCCACAGGGGAACCGACTAATCCGGAATCGAGCCGGGTAGGACCACAAGGGCGGCAAAACTCTCCCTCAAGAGTTTTTAACATTGCTGCATTCCCAGGACTCGAACACGAGACCATTGGTTAAGCTGAAGAGACCCAAGCTATCTCATCCAAGCGCTCTTGAGTATAGTTGGAAGTATTTTAAATGCGTGCAATTATTACATTATGGGTTCGAAATTACTTTTATAATCTTACTTTTATAATAGATTTTTAGAAGTGGATTGACTATTAATCGAACTTATCGTGCCAATTGCGATGTGAAATTGCTTTTATAATAGGTTTTTTTTGAAAGCAAACTAACTTAACTATTCATTTGATTGAATTTATTGTGCCAAGCGCGATGAATTAAGTGTTTCTGACCTTAAATTTTATCGTTTCCACCCTGTTTTAACTTTTTATTCAAGTTTTTGAAACTTTACTAGACACTACTAATAGTAATAGACTATGACATTGCTTTCATAAAATTGAAACTTCATCTTCAAGAACAAAACACAAGTTGAGAAATATGTTTGTGTTCTACATTTATTGTCTCGTCTTAATTAGGCATGAGTTTTTCTACCACATCTCCTAAACAAATGCAATTAATGTAGTAACATCGGATTAATTGAATTCACAATTGTGAAATGGCCAAATTAAAAGGATCAAAATTTTAACATTACCATTAAAAATAAAAATAGAGAGAGTGAAAAATAAAATAAAATAGGGAAAAAAAAAAAGTA